TATTTTCCCACAATATTTACAAATTATATCATACCTTTTTTGACCAATATCAAACCTTTCCATTTTCGTGAAATGATTCCAAATGTCAAATGTAAATTCCCGTTCCACTTCCTTTGTTGTAGATATTTCGGCAGGAGGATGAAAACTTTCTTGCGTCGGGACGCGCTCCACATCGGGAAAAATGTTGATTTCATCGTCTTGAAAATCTGCATATTCACGAGGATCAAAAGAATGATGGGATTCCGTCGCGATATTCTTACCTTTGCCAGTTGGCACTGGACTTCCACTTGCCATTTTTCGAGTGGATTGAGAGAATTGAGCGAATTAATTGGGAGAATTAAGAAAGAATTGCGTGTATTGAGAAAATTGAGAGAATTTGAGAGAATTTCGACTATTGAGAGAATTTGAGAGAATTGTGAGTATTGAGAGAATTTATAAGAAAAAAATGAGAAGAAAATTTAGAATTAAAAAAAAAAGAAAAGATAACCGTTGCAATTTTGCAACGGTTATCTTTTTTTTTAATAGTTTTGCCCGTTGGGCGTTGCATGACGGGGCCTGCGAGACGTGCGAGCCTGTTTGCGGGCGCCCGGGGGAGTGAGGGGGGTTTTTTTTTTTTTAAAAAAAAACTTTGCCCGTTGGTCCAACGGGTCACTGCACTGCAGAGTGCAGCAGTTTTTTTTTTTTTTCGGAATCGGGCCCGGAACCGCCGGTTCCGGTTCCAAACCACGGGCCCGGTCAACGGGCCGGGCTCGGGTTTGACCGGTCCGGTTCCGGGCCGGTTCCGGGCCGAAACCGGCCCGTGGCCACCACTATCGACTTTGGCCTAAAATTAAAGTGTGGAAATATGTAATCGGCAAGGCAAATAGGAGTCTGGAAGATTTGAATTCAAAACCCTTTGCTTTGATATCATGTGAGATTTTTTGAATCACTACTAACTGTTCTGAAAGTTTAAACTGTTAAATGAAGGTACGATTTAATATTTTAACAATGATCACCACGGCGCACCAATCACTACCATTGACTGTGCCATCACCTATCAATCGTCACCATCCCAACTGGTCACCAACTCTAACTCTTAACAAGATCCCGACCTCTCCCTGTCCCTGCCCTGTCCCTCTCCCTCTTTGGATGTCACCTTATCATCAACGATGGTCGTTGACGATAATGACACCTCCATCGTGATTCGAAAACTGAGAATTGGAGGAGAGCCCTCTAGTTCTTCATGGCGAGGTCCACTTTTAGATTTTAATGGAGGCATTGTTGTTGTCTCGATGTTCGTCACTACAAAATGCAATAGCATCGCGACGGCGGTACTACAAAATCTGGAGTGGTGGCAGCGTGGATCTCGTCATCAAAGAGAGGCGGAGACATTGGTGACTGTGGGTTGCAACTGAACGGTGAGGCCATGGTCGGAAGTGGCTCGGAATGACAATGTGACAACAACTCAAACGTGGCAACGCAGGTGGCTAGTTAGGAATTTTGTAGAGAGATGTTTTTATTTTTCCTCGTGCAAAATCACAGATACATGTCATTTGACAATTGAAAATAAACGAATACATGATCCGACAGATTGTACGTGAACCTTTATATAAATAGGACACATTTGACTTCCAATTACAGTTTTTTATAAGTAATAAATTCAATCTCAGTAAATTTACCATCTCTCAAGTGTGTAAGACTAGAAATTTTCTCCGGTCCAGTGCCATATTAGGAAATTTTTTTCCAATATATTTTATTCTCTTTATCTTGTCTCGCTGCTTGTATTTAGTCGACTTCAAATGACTTATTGATCATCCGATGACGAAAAATCCTGTTCACAATATAGGAGCATAGTCAAAATTGAATTTGATAAATTGTAATGTAATTCGTCATAATAAATTGATGTTTCCAGTACTGAATAATCGATTTGAGTTTAACCGAACATGAACTAAATTTACTTATGGAATTTTCCGACCAGCCTAACTACGCAATTTTATTTTAATTTCCCACCTTCTGTAGCTCATATAAGTGAAAAAAAGATAGATCAAATTACGTGGCCGACCTTGCACCAAAGCTATCTAATTCCCGGCCATCTTAAAGAAAGTTAAAAAGATAGAAGATATTTAAGTACAGAGCTAAATAGTATGGCCTAGAAAAAGTACATAGGTTGAAAGAACTAAATGACAAACTCATCGGAATATGACTCCACTGTGACCGACACCCCACTACTCCACATCATTGCCATCCCACCTGCAATACCTCTAGTTCGTCAATATCATTTATGAAGATGATGAATGCAAGACGAGAATGAGAATCACATTGGTACATGCACCAAACACGTTCCCAGAGAGGCTGAGGTTGTGGGAGGAATTGAAAGGTTTGAGTTCTCTTAATAACCTTCCTTGGATTTGTTTAGGGGACTTTAATGAAATCCTTTATCATTGGGAAAAGGTGAGTAGAAGAATGGCTGAACATTATAGATTGAATGCATTTCAGGAGTTCCTGAATAACTATTCTTTAATGGATCTTGAATGCAAAGGATGCGCATTTACTTGGGCTAACAATCGTGAAGGGGAAGCCTATGTGAAGGAAAGTTTGGATCGGGTCCTGTGTAATATTGATTGGAGGATATTATTTCCAAACGCAGAAGTCTATGCATTGCCTGGGATTGGGTCAGACCACAGCCCGATTCTATTGTCTTTGGAAGCTAAAAGAGTGAAACGCCGGAAGGAGTTTAAATATGAGACATTCTGGGCTGAAGATGAGGAGTATGGAGACGCTGTTAAAAAGGCCTGGACATCCTCAAATATGCTGAATCAAAGCCTTTTGCGAAAATTAAAAGAGGTGACAACGGCTTTGACTAGTTGGAGCAAGAAAGAGTTCTCTAATGCACAAAAGCAAATCACGCAGTTGAAGATGGAACTCCAGATTGTCACAAATGGCACTAATACCCAGAATGATAACGAGAGAGTGAAACAGATTAAAGAAAGAATTCATGACTTATGGAGACAAGAAGAAATGTACTGGGGATTGAGATCTCGAATCTTGTGATTGAAATGGGGAGACAAAAACACCAAATACTTTCATGCTACCACAATTCAGAGAAGACAGAGAAATAAAATTTCGATGCTGATGATATCAGAAGGGGAATGGAGTAGGGATCCCCACATTCTTAAACAAGTAACAACAGATTTTTTCAAGGATCTGTACAAATCAGTAGGCTCTCGTGATTTTCAACCGGTTCTTGAGCAGTGTCCTAGTCTTGTTGGGGAAGAGATTAATGAAGCATTAATAGCAGACATAACTTTACAAGAAGTCTAGGATGCTGTTTTCCAAATGGGAGCATTGAAAGCGCCGGGGCCTGATGGACTTAATGCACAGTTTTATCAACATCATTGGGGGGTATTCATGCTGATATCGTCAGAATGGTGAGAGATTTCATGAGTAGCGGAGTGTTGGACCCATCCATTAACAGAACTCTAATTTCTCTTATACCCAAAGTCCCTAATCCAGAGAATCTCAGCCAATATAGACCTATTAGCCTCTGCAACTTTGTGTACAAGATTATATCAAAGGTTTTGGCAAATCGCTTGAAACCTTGGCTTCCCCAATTGATCGAAATAGAACAGAGTGCTTTCATTGGTGGCCGGCAGATTCAGGATAATATCCTGGTAGTCCAAGAGGTACTTCATCAGCTCCGAATTAGAAAGAGGATGAAGAAATTCCAGGCAATTCTAAAACTAGACATGCAAAAAGCCTATGACAGAATAGAATGGGATTTTCTCGAAGCTTGTATGTTAAAGATGGGGTTCTGCAGGAAATGGGTATCGTGGATTATGCAATGTGTTACTACAGTATCCTTTAGCGTCAAATTCAATGGCAAATCTTTACCGTACTTTCAGCCATCGAGAGGAATTAGGCAAGGTGACCCTCTCTCCCCATACTTGTTCATTATCATAGCAAACGTACTCTCTTTGCTCATGAAACAACATCAGAGGCAAGTATTATAAGGGGGATCAGATTAAATAGATTTTGCCCAACACTCACTCATTTGCTTTTTGCTGATGACTCTATCTTTTTTTTGGATGGTACAGTGAGCGAATGTCAAAATGTGGCTGCGGTTTTAAACCAATATTGTTATGCTACGGGCCAAACTATTAACCTGAATAAATCAGGTATTTTCTTTAGCTCCAGTTGCCCTCTGAGATTAAGACAGAATATGGCCCAAGAATTGCGTGTCCTGGAAATAGAAAAAACGGGAAAATATTTGGGAATACCCTCGGATTGGGGAAATTCAAAGAAAGACATGTTTGCATGGATTCTGGCTAGGGTGAATATGAAACTGGAAGGGTGGAAGGAAAATTTGATTTCAAAGGCAGGGAAAGAAGTGCTTCTAAAGGCTATGATTCAAGCGATACCACAATATGCGATGTCCATTTTCAAAATTCCCTTATCTATTTGTCGTGCAATGGAGCGAAAAATTGCTGCCTTTTGGTGGAGGAATGGGGAATCAAAAGCTGGTATACATTGGAAAAAATGGGAGTTACTTAAAACAAGAAAGGACAAAGGAGGCTTGGGTTTCAGGGATTTGATCACCTTCAATAAGGCCATGTTGGGGAAGCAAGCCTGGAGGATCATTCAGTCTCCATCCGCATTATGGATCAAACTTTTAAAAGGAATTTATTTCTTAATACCAATTTCTGGCATGCGGGGAAGGGAACTAGACCATCGTGGGGCTGGCAGAGCTTGATCATGGGTAGGGATGCCATTACGAAGTCGACTATGTGGTCTGTAGGGAATGGTGAATCCATTAGCGTGAGGGAGGATAAGTGGTTACCATCAGGGATTATTGGAGGCCCAACGAATCGCAATGACCCAGTGTTTGTTGTTGATCTTATAGACAAGAATGTGCCCAATTGGAATGAGCAGACACTTAGGCGACTGTTTGATGACAGAGTAGTGAAGGAGATAACATCTATTCCTTTACCGAAGGAAAATGAGGCGGATAAAGTGGTCTGGACAGGGACTAAATCGGGGTTGTATTCAATGAAAAATGGGTATAACCAACTCAGACAAGACGATCCGTTATCATGCATACAACAACCCTCCTCTTCCTACCAGCCCCCATCAGGACTTTGGAATAAATTATGGAAACTAGATGTCCCGCCAAAACTCAAGATGTTTTTATGGAGTATTTGCCAAAACGCCTTGCCTACAAAGGATAACCTTCTCAAAAGAAACATAATCCCTGACCCAATTTGCCCTCTTTGCCAGCAGAATCGAGAAACTCTTGAGCACTTGTTCCTCCTCTGTTCATGGACTCAAGAAATCTGGTCAGATTCGCGGGTACAAGTCAGGATTTCGAGTCATGGACTCAATCGAATTGATCAATGGTTACTAAATTACCGAAGCACCAAAAGGGATGAGCCAAACCTGAAGCTTGTCACAGCTATTCTTTGGCACATATGGAAATCTCGTAACAATTTCATATTCAGGGGCACCAAACCAGATCCGAGGAGTGTTGTCACGGATGCCTGTGCAATGAACGACAAAATTACTTGTTGGAGCTCTAAACCCGTAGGAAAAGGGAAAAGAAAGGAGAACTCACAGATTTCTTGGATTCCACCACGCTCGGGATCGCTGAAAATAAACGTAGATGGAGCGTTTTTGGAGAGAGAAGGGGCTGGTGCGGTGTCGTGGGTGTGCCGAGACTCCTCCAGAATGCTGATTGACGGATTCGCGAGCTCTGTGCAGGTTCGATCTCCCCTCCATGCCGAAACATTAGCTCTGTTGGAAGCATTGAAGTGGCTAAACTCACGTGGCTTTGAAGAGAAAGAATGTAAAGAGATAGAGTTGGAGTCAGACAATCTCTTTCTAGTTAGAATGCTTCAAGGCACAGGTCAGGTCTCTTGGGAAGTCCACGCGCTGATCAGAGACAGAGTTGGCCCACTGTGCACGGACCCAGAACAAGGTTGCGGACTGGATCGTTAAAGCTCAAGTCCATAATATCCTCTTACTCAACTGGGTTTTCAATCCACCGCAAGCCCTTTGGGATTTGTTATGCTTAGAAACTCTTTTGGTATACTTATTAATTGTTTAACATGAATGAAATGGCATCCTTTTCTTATAAAAAAAGAAGAAGAAAGAACTAAATGATTCGTACTTTGGAAAGTTGAGTTGATTGGACACAGTTACGTGACAGAAAGGTCATGGTCCCCCATGCAGATATCCATGAATTTTATGTTTTTTTTTAAGAAAAAATACCACCAAAAACCCCGAAGTATGTTATTTGTGATAAATTTACCCTGAATTTTTTTGTAACACGAAAAATTCCTAACTATGTCACTTGTGATAAATTTATCTTGAACTTTTTTTTGTGATACGAAAAATCTTAAACTATGCCACATGTGACACATTTACCCCATAATACTTTGGCCCATGGCATTTTAGTCTTTTTCCTTTTTTTTTATTTTTGTTTATGGTGGTATAGTTTGAGGTTTTTCGTGTCACAAAAAAAAGTTCAGGGTAAATTTGTCACAAGTGGCATAATTTGGGATTTTTCGTGTCACAAAAAAAAATCCAGGGTAAATTTATCACAAGTGACATAATTTGATGTTTTTGGTGGTATTTTCCTTTATTTTTAAAGCAAGAACCTAGGAAACATTTTATATTACGCAGAAAATATGCTTTTATAATCAATATTCACGTGTGGAGATAGATAGAGATAGAGAGACTAAAAAGATTAAGACCAGGGTCCACATTGCCATCTTCTGGGCATATCCTCCTAGTGACCAACTCCAACATAATAATCCTGATTAGGTCCAATCATTAAGAATGTGTTTGTTTCGCAAAAAATATATAATTTAAAAAATACATTTTTAAGAATGATCACTTATATAGCCAATAAAATGAATGATTGAAAAACATTTTTATCATCCATGAAAGTGTTTAGACATAAATTATTTCGGTAATATATATTTTTCATTGACTAATAATTTTAAGCGATACAAGTTATCATTTTTATGAAAATCTTTTTAAAATTATTTATTTTTCGCGAAACAAACGAAGCCTAATTTTAATTATAATTTGTTTTGCTCTTTAACTTTATCTGATTTGTCCTGTTTTGGGCAGTAATCTCTTGGATTAAACCCCCAAATCCGAAGGGCGAGACAAAAGTGAGTTCTCCAATCCGCTGGAAACCAGTGAACTTGGGATGATAAGCAATTGCTTTCTCTATTCTTTGCTTCTTGAAAGTGAATGGGATAAATTAAATTTGGGTCAATATCACGAAAAACCATAAATTGATATATTTATGATAAATTTATCTCAAATTAATTTTTTAATCACCAAAAATCCAAAATTTGTACTCTTGTGACAAATTTACTATTGGTTAAATTGGATGAATACCACGAAAAATCACAAATTGGTAAACCTGTGATCAACAGAGGAGTAAAACCCCGAATTAGTATACCAGTCAACTATCACGTGTTATCAAACTTAGAAATTTAACGATAAAATTTAACGGAAACTAGTGTACCGGTTTATGATTTTTGGTGGTCAAAAAAATAATTTGGTGTAAATTGATCATATGTGTATTAGTTTGGGGTTTTTCGAGGTATTAACCCTTTAAATTTTGGCATATAGATTTTATACTTGATCGTCCCACAGTGCGTTCTTCGGCTTCGAGCACCGTGTCCACCATCGTGCTATTTCTGGTAGGTCATTGATTAAGATACATAATTTTTAAAACTCGAATATTCAATTGACATCTGAAATATATTAAAATTTTCCAGTAAACTGTTGTTTATAACTTGCACCACTTTGCTTGAAATGTTACAACATCAAAATGAGTGCTGAACGAAAACTATGACAAGGTTATTGTCTTTTCTTACCTTTATACTGTTAATTGTTTTATCAAATAGCAATATAAATCTGAATGTATAACAAACTTATAAACCCAAATAAATTCTTACAGGGGTAATCTCACAAAGAAAACATTAATCTATAAATAGAATCAATGTAGTTACCAATAACGAAAAGGATATACGTTACACAGTATTTACCCTTACACGTCGGCTTATGTTTTATGCTATTTGTGCATTAAAAAATTTGGATTTGTTCATAAGAAGAAATGGATTGAACTCAACAACCAAGAAGGGGTGAATCAATAGCATTTTCATGCAAATCAACACAGTGGATGAAATAGTGCTTGTTAATGATATATACGTTACAGAGCAAGTATCTTCTATAATTTGAAATGTGGAGAGTAAGGAATAGAAGGGTTTGCAAAGCAAATTTATAGTGGTTCGGTCTTTCCACTTTTTTTTGAACATACGGTCTTTCCACTTGACTTGCTCCACTTATGAGTATCAATTCTGAGAGTCCAATGACAAAGCTGGAATTCACTATTTCCAACCCCTGAAGCCTTTTGACAACATTTACAAATGAAGGTGCCTCTACATTGAGAGATCGTAGCTCACTCTACAAGTACACACACACTTCACTCTAGGCTCGAAGCACTTTTTTTACAACGATTACACCAACGCTCTCTCAAAGAAACACTCGGATTTCACAAGATTTTTCTCAATTAATAAGCACTAGAAATAAGAACAAGTTTCAAAGTGTGTTAATCCTTTTGGCCCTATAGGTCAAAGTAGCCATTGCAAGGTCTGTCCATAACTCAAATGTCTTTTTACAGCTAGTAAATGGATTTTATTTCCTTCCTAACACTTCACTTGCTTAATGAAGAATGGCAAATCTCAATTTGACTTCTCCAAAACGTCTCTGTATGGACTCCAAAACCTGAAGTTGGCTCCAAAGCACTAATTTGATTTAAATTAAATTGATTTAGAACTAGTTCTTCGTTTTCAAGTGCATGGTACACTTTGTTCATAGAGAGAACTTCTGCTTCAACACGATCCATCCAGGCTTGGCTGATCTCATCCAATCTCAATTTGTTCACCTTCTTCACTTATGTCCTTCCAAGCATATTGGTATACTCGATATTATCTTAGTTGTTCTTCTCCTATTAGGTCCATACAAGCATCTCAAGGATCACACATCTGTGCTTGTTCACCAAAATCCAAATGTCCTTCCAATTTTATCACTTTCTACTCAATATATTATTCTCCATTTGTAGAATATGGAAGCTCTCCACTAGCACAAACATCATGATGTTCTCATCATTTGCGTATGAACTTGTGTATACAGAGGATATTCGTCTGCACACTCAAGTATTAGTTCACAACGAATTATTATCTTCAAAATACATAGAGAGTTTTCTCGACATTTTCTTAAGCATTCGTGAATCTACATAATTACAATGGGTAAGCACAAGCTACATATTGGAGATTAGATTATTATTTTGTTTGATATAACTGAAAAAAAGTGCTGAAAATTTAATTTTAGGTATTGAAGTATTTAAGTACTGAAAATGAAAATAAATAATGGTTTGAGAGTAGATCAAAATTAAATAATTTCTTACCAAACATGAAATAGTGAGCATTATCGCATGCTTTTGACATTTGTTATCATTATAATGATTCCCAATGAATATTTAATAAATTGACCAATTAAGTAAGCCCTTCCTCACTTACCGAATCAAGTGATTGTGACTATAGCAATCAATCAAGGTGTGTAATTAGAGGTTATCAAACGCGCCTCGTGACAGATTGAACAAAAAAATCACTTGCCTATTTAATAACTCAATTAAGTGCTGAAAATTAAAAATTCAACACTTAGAAATTAAATTCTTTTAATAACCTTAAACATAATTCATTTAAATCGTTCAATTAAGGAAAAGAAACACTAAATCTAATACGGAAGGAAGGGGTAATTCAATTTGTTCAAAAGAAAAAATAATCTATGGCAATTAGAATCTTGCCAAATATATTGATAAAACCTACCAATAATATTTTTTTCATGTTGAGTAAGAGATTAATGATATTTAACTTTCAATTTTTTAATTATCATAAAAGAAGATTGTAATTCTATTTTCAAGATATGAGATTATCAACGCTTCAATTCAATACGTAAATGTTGGACAATTAATTTTCAGTTTTACCAAACAGGGAGTGCCTTAAATAGTGAATTTTAAGTGCCCATTACCTTAAGTGCTGAAATAAAATTTAAATTTTATATGATTAATTTAAAATTAATATTTAAATTTATTAATTTCTTACCAAATGGTAAAACAATAAGGTTTTTCCAATGAATAGCGCTTTTTCCACTCCCACTATGGTTAAAACACTCCCTTTTATAATGTTTTGACAATATTAATATTTATGGGTCCTACCTTTTTTAAGCATTCTTGAGTTGCTTTTGTTCTTTTTCTTTTCTCGCTAGACCATTTTCCTTCTTTTCATTTATTTCTCTCTTCTCTCTCTTTCTAAAACATTCCTCTCCTGTCAATAATCGGTATTGAAGCCCAAATTTGTAGAAATCACCTTCTCACCCAACTAGTCCTCTTCCATCTCATTTCTTCAACTCAAAGTTTAACTGTAAATGAAAAACCCATCCCGTATATCTTTACTCCCATTCCATCCCTTTGGCTATGTGTTATTCATTGTCCCATTTCGCATCAAACTCTTTCATTGATCAATCACGAAGACAAGAAAAAAAAACACATTAAAGATTAAGATCCAGGAGCTAAAACGCTCGCCCAAAACCTCATCAAGTTCATTAGCAATGTTTGCTTCTTCGTCTTTGTCTTCTTAGTCCTAATTGTCACCATCATTGCCGATTCGCCATCACCTACCAACCTCCAAATACATGG